GCAAGAAATTGCGAGTTGGAAACAAAAATATGATGAACTTCGTATGCATTCTTCTTCCTTCCTTGTACCGTTAAAATGCCAGCTTCCAAAAATTGGCTCTTTCTCAGACTCTTTCAGTTCTTTATTTTACCTCATATTTTTCATTGTTTTGAAGGCATCTGTAAAAGTGTTCTTTTTTGCAGTGGAGCCATGGTTCGATCGCATCCCACGTGCTCTCTCAGCTGCTGGCACATTTTGGCAGGGAACCTGTGCGTCGGTATTTGAACGAGCTTTGGAAGTGTTTGTTCTGATTGCAAAACGACTCTTCGATGGTCAGTTTTTTTGTCTTTTTAAAATTTGATTTTTTTATAATAAGTCGTTACTTATTAAAATTTTCCGGATTACGGCTGTCAAGCTATCCATTGTTACTGCGGTTCAGTGCTTAGCCGCTTTTTTCGTGATTTACAAGTCACTGTACATACAGGCTTGCTTATTTGGGAGATCTAAATGACACTACTTCCGCTGTGTTTTCATTAATTATCAAAATTCGATTGTGTTCTTCTCCACTGTAGTGGACTAGCAACGCCAAACAAACTGAATATGTTAACACATAGAAAATTTCAGACCCTTGTCCTCTTCCAATAGCTCCTAGCCAGGGATAAATTCATTGTTTGTGCTTTTAAAATTTCTACAACACCCTATATCGCAGGAATCATTGCAGATCATGCATCCCATGCAGCAGCAGCAATTTTTCGTGCTATAGCATTACGCAATTTGGTGCTCTGTTCAACAGTTGTATCTCTTTTTCATGGTGAAGAATTACTGCCATGTAAAAACTACATTGTACTTGTGGCGCGTATCAAGGCATGGCTGGATGAACGTAAAAAACTACATCCTGCCGGGTAAGTTTGGAACCGAATCTAACTTTGTTGGCTTTTGTGCTTTCCCCCCGGAAGCATTGGGCAACTTTCTGCTCGGTGTGCTGCAGCAGCAGCAGATTGACAGTCGGAAAGCGACAAACTCTAGGGGATTTTTGGGGTCAAAAAATGCTGCCATGGAGCGAATTTCTTAGCATGCACCTGTAGCTTGCTGCCCGAGGTTGAATTCATGTCCATATCGAATTTTTTTCATAGGCACTTGCGAGTTTTAAATTTCCACACCATTTAAACCCGCGTTTATCTCCTTCCAAAAGATGGTTAGAATATCGTGCTTGATCTTGGGATTTGTAAAACATGCCAAAAGAACAAAGTCATTGCAGCCAGGAGAGATGCAAAAATATTTTCTTGCTTGGGAGAAAAAGAACAAATGAATTTTGACGGGGATTGGGTTTATTTTTCTCAATGGGAGCAAGAGAATTTACTTTTTGAGCTTCCGGAGCAGTAACTGACGCCTGGTGGAAAATAAGAGACGTAAAAATTGGTCTCAGATTTCGCCGTGTCTTCAACGAAGTTTCCGAGTTAATTTCACATAACTCATATCATTTTTTTAAAATTTTCCTAGGCTTAGGCACTTGAGAATTTATCATAATAATTTAAATTGTTACAGTTTAGGAGTTACATATTTTCGTGGTTTACAGCGGCAAATTTCATCAAGGCTGTACTGATAAGTCTCGATTCTGCATGCAAAATTCGGTCTGTGCTTACAGATAAGGGATGAAACACAGAGAATGCATCGTAAAA